GCATAGGCTTGGCTGGTAGTATGGGCATCCAGGTGCCAGGCCAAAACTGCTGACATTCAGCAAAACTGTTCTAAATTTTTGAATAGGAAAGTTTCCAGCAATGTCAGGATGGCAATTAGCGATTGATTTTCATTTGGCAGCTTGCCATGTAACCAGAGTGACAGACACCAGAACTCTTTTAACACATTTAATGGGATTTTTTCCTTCCATTTACACTATCATAAATTACAAAGCATATTTCACTTCACAAAATAAAACCATTTCCAGATCATTTTTATGACAGTATTAAGTAGTACATAACCTACAACAAATAGTCCTGTACAAGGCAGGAGGATCTATGGAAGTATTGGGAAATCAGACTATTTAGCTTTTGCTCTGCAATCTGGGTTAATCTAACTAGCCCTTAGTAATTTCTCTAGAAGACAACAAATTTACAGTCATACCCTCTACCTCCCTTCATTATCATAGTTACACATATTTTTCAATTTGAATAGAAACATGTGCTCCCTGAAATAATTCAGGAAACTGCATCACTGAGTTACCAAGCAAATGATACAAATGATCAAGATGAGGGATTATTATAATTTTTTTTGCATTGAAAATTGAGTTTGGTAGTAAAGTACGTTGATTTTCTATGCTTGCAGAAACACCTCATGCTGAGAAACAGTTTTAACATTAGGAATAAGTTGCAGTTAGACTGTGAACTCTGTAGGTCAATGTTTGTGAGGGGAGAAAGAATATTAAAATTTGGTAATAGTTAAATTTACCAGCTCCCACATGTCCTACATAGTCTTTCTTTCTTTCTTTTTTTTTTTTTTAACAAACCATCAGGAAACACATTCAAGATAAATACCTAAATTTTAGCAGATTTACTGTACATTTATAAATACAGAAACATGACAAAACATAACTCAGTTTTTACAGAAAAACCAAATCCTTCATCATTAACCCAAAAAAGTGCTAACTTTTCAACAAGGCCAGAAAATATCCAGTGTCCCAGCATCACTTAACTTACATATTCCTGTAATCCAAGAAAAATCTGGCATGTGAAACTGATACTACCACTAGAACTTTTCAAAAAATTCTTGAGACCATATTTTACATTGGAGACAAAAAAAAAAAAAGGGAAAATATGTTTTGGGAAACAGCAAATGGCTAAAAGTGTGCATTCTTAGGATGCTAGTGCCTAAATGCAAAGAAACCTAAAGAAAGCTGAAATATGCACAAGAAAAGTATTCTCCTTTCAAACAGTTTCAATGAAAGAGGTATGTCAGGATAATACTGCATCACTTGCAATTGTTTTCAATATATCATAGCAAAATGCAGGAAAGAATTACGTGGAAAATAATCAACGCACCGCATTGATTTATAGTTTGCTAAAATAAAATGCCATTCTTTCAGCTAGGTAAAGTAAAAATATCTTTATAATATAGGTTCTGTTTCACAACTGACATATATAATTATGTCTCATGAAGAAGGAAATGTATAGGCGTATACAAGTAACACTGATTAAGTACCTTTTTGCTTCTCTAGCCATATTAAAATACGTTTTGTGTTTCTTAATAAGTTAACAATAAAATTGTTTGAAACTTCTCAAAACAAATATACATCTGAGGCAAGGCAAAAGATACAAGGTAAGAGGATTTTTTCTGACCTTCTTTTTCCCTTCTACAAAGAGGCATATGTCTATGAGACATAGGCTTTCCCTAAACATTTTGGCATCCATCTGCAACTTTGCAGAAATTGAAGTACAGTCAAGGAACTCTTCCTTTCTGTTTAAAAAAATCTTAAAGAAACATTGTTTTTTCCTTCAAACTAATTATTTTAAAACAAGTGGCTTTGAAGATATGCCTCCCTTTTTCTAAAAGAGAACATCTTCATTTTCTATTAAGATCTGCACAATTAACTTCTGGTACCGCATGTCATTCAGTGTAGCAAGGGTACTGTCCTCTGGAGGTCTCATTAAAGTTGGTCCAAACACTATTCCCAGGTTTTCAGCGTTCATAAAATTCTCCTTTTCATGCAAGGTAACCCTAAAACATAAAAAAAACAGAGTTAGTTGCTTACTTCCCAGAAGAAAAGAATATCTGCATCATTATCTGTAGTCCTGCTTCACATCAAGCATGGGTAGATAATGACATTTTTCAGTAACAATTTTTACTTTCACTCAACATTGCAACGGTTTCCACAACAAGTGAAATACAACTACCTTGGGGCTGTAATTTCTAGTGCCTTTAAACACCTCTCATGTGACTCTCAAGTGATTTTTCCATGTGACTATCTGTTAGGGTATAAGAATTAGTGACAATTGCTTTTTTAAAAGCATAATCATTATTTAAATGATGATGTATGGAACAGTCCTCTATGCTACAGTAACTACAGTTCTCTGGCACATTCAGCTTGGTGTGCATCACACTGGTGGTGTGGGTGTGCTCCATGAATACAAATCCAGATTTTCTGTATACTAAAGTGATCCACATGCTTCCAGACATGCTTCCAGCCTGCAGGAACCCACCCATTCACACATATCTGCCTTGCTGGCTGTTTCAAGCCAACCAATGGCTGAATAATTCTGCTTACTTGTTATACTTTAGGAGTAGGCTGAATCCCGGGTCAGCCTGGTGAGGTGGCTTGCTAAAATCCGACTGCTATAAATGCCATCTATTCTTGACAGAGAACAGAAACACTTGTAGGAAGGAGCCCAGGCTGTTTTGTTCCCTGACATCGGTCATATAATGTAAATGCAAGAATAGATGGACTATTTGTGGCTGTAGCAAACAAAGACCACCAAGGATGGCCAAGCTGCAGAGAAGTCAGCCCTGACTTGGAAATCAGTCAGGCCTGCTGAAAAAGGCAAGGTGTGCTCAAGGTTTCCCTCCAGGTAAGAGAGCTGGGTCACATCAGTGTTGTCCCACTTGAGTGGTATATTGAGTTCAGTCCTGACGGTGCTCTTGCACTGCGGTGTAGAACAGCCACAGTCTCTTAATCAGTCATGGTCCCTCATGGACCGGATATTTGCTGTAATAAGTACAGCATGGATGAAGTTTCACATGTCCTTCATACAACTCCTCTGCCAGGATAGAGCACGTCTGGTTTTGGAGGCAGCTCTCCTTGCAACAGCTGAGATCTTCCCTGACCATGGCAATTCCCAGCTGGGCATTGTGACTGGATTCACTCATGCCATCAGAGGAGAACAAAAGTATTGAAGCCAGAAAAAGTTCGGTCTTCCCTTGTTTGCAAGGTTTGATTTGGTTTTGCTTCTACTATTGTCTCTCTGCAAAGATTGACTGTCACGGAAAAAGGCTGTTTCTCTTTGCTTTCAGGACAGAAATCCATTAGTGCCTCTACTCACAGATACATCCTCATCTTCTAGCACAGATATGTTAGCAAGCCACCTCTGTTTAAGTCTAACACACTGCTTTCCCTCTGTGAATGCATGCAGCACAGATGTTGAATAGTTCTGCAATGCTATATAGATCCTACTAGCACCTCTGTGCAGAAGTATGGGGCTTGTTGCACAGCTTGGGGTGAACATAGAGAAGATTCAGAGCTTCACTACAATGTCAGAAGGGATGGAGTTTTGTGTATTTCACCACAGGGAGGACTGCTCACGGTATTGCATTTCTTCCAGTTTTGAGCAACAGGTTATCAGAAAGATAACTGAAGCAAACAATTAATTGACTGATAAATCTGGCTTTTTTTGTGACATTGTCCTCTGATGGATTTTCTGCTTCTAATAACAACTTGGTGCAGTTTGTTTTATGTCAAGAAACAGCAGTGGTGTAGAGGCTGTGATTCTGGAGTCCATGCAGATGCCAAAAGCAATGATTTGGGAAAGGAGAGGAAATTCATTGCGTGACTTGCAGGTATTTGAGAGAGAAAGCTTAATCAGCTCTTTGGACTATTTTTATCTCATCAGTAGTTCAGCTCAACAGCTGAACCAAAGCCTGGACTGCAGTTCATGAGAAGAAGGAAGGCAAGTCAATACATGTCTACTAAAAATTTGCTGCCAGGATGTGAAAGTACTGATTCTGTATGCAGGTCACTTGCCTACAGTCTCTATGGACCTTCATAAAAGTCAGCATTGTTCATCATGAGTTGTCCATGCATATGTGCTGATTAGGGTGGATATTTGCACATCTTATTTCTGCAGAGTCCAAAGAAGCTCCTGCATACCCAGGTAATGTCTCATCAAAGGGAAACATTACTCATTATAATGACCTGAGCTGATTCAAAATGAGGAAAGGTCTCTGTATAACGAGAACCTGATTGTGTGTAAAATGCACTTCACACAGGTTCTCTGATGCAATATTATGTGAGTTGATGTCTTTTTCTTTTTAGGCTGGCATTTTTAGTGCAGAATAGTGCAGATCAAACCCAGAAAATCCTTCACATTTGCAACTATATTGCAAGTAGTGGGACCAAGGATTTGCTGTATACAAGGTCAGTAGCTTTATTCCTCTCTTATCCCCTTTTCTATTGTTTCCAAGCAGCAAACTGCTTGTCCAGAGACAAGGAATATCTTGGGCAGTATTACTGTAAATGAAGGCCTGCTTTGAGATGACAGTGCCAGTCTGTACTTAGCTTCAGTTTTTTAAATACTTACAAAGAAAACTTACTGCGGCATGTAAATACCCAGGGCAGCAAAGTGGAGTTAACATGTTTTGAAAAACAGTTTTGCTTGAAATTAGTGGAAGTGAGGCACCCTCTTTGGAGCACTCCTTAATTTTCCTAGGTACCTACCTCAAAACTTGGAAAACTTTGCAGTACACTCCCAAGGAACTTTCAAAAATGAAATTTAGGCACTTTTGAAAATGTTACATGCCTTATGAAGCTTTGTGCATGCCTTATGAAGCCCCTTATGTATGTCTTATTTATGCCTAAAGAAGCTTTGGAAAACAAATGAGGCACAGTGTGTTTAAAACCTGAAGAGATATAACTGGAGTTTGTATTGCTTTTACTAGTCATATAAAAATAGACCCTGCTTGATTCTTGGCTTACTGTGATGTGAGCAAACAACTCCTAAGAGACAGCTCCTTCCTTTTAGGGTTATTGTTCAAGAAGACAAATCAGGAGGTAAGGGGAGGCAGAAGCAAAGCATGATCAAGTGCCTTACTGCAGTACATCCAGCACAACTCTGAAGTACCTACCATTTGGTATTCTTCAGATATTATCTGCCTTGAAGAAGCATGACAAATTTCAATTAACTCTTCAAAGGCTTGCAATAATATGCCAGCAAGAGGATCTATGCTATATATGTGCATAGTTTATATGCATTTATACAAACAGCTAGTAACATTATTGTTTTAGCAGCAGTGCCGTAATGGAAGCTTTATTAGTACTTTCTGTAATACTTCTCTTTCAAAGCAGAAAATTGTTAGGCTCTTCAAGAATTATCCTGCATGTCAATTAACTCACTTTTTGAGATGAATCATTAGGTATCTAAGTGTCTCGTAGTGAGCAGCAGGGAGTAACATCAACACTTCATGTATTGCTTCTAGTCGTTCATCAGGATTGGAGATTTCTGTAAAAACACCAAACAGGATTAATGTTAATAGGGCTTTCTATGTGTAAACAGCAATAAATCAGGAAGATAACTTATTATTATGGAATCATTTACAAGCCATTGACTGTGCTTGGAGGGATAAATATTAAACTCATAAACATGGAGCTTACCAGCAACTACTGCATCCTCAAAAAAAGGCTTTACAAAGAAATCAGCAACAAAGACCACCCAGGAGTTATCTCTGTGGTCTGTTGCTCTGTCTACAGGTCTGTATAGGTACAGTACCTAAGCCTCATTACGTGCTTCATAATATTACTCTGCCCAGAACTGTCTCTCTAAAATCTGACATAAGATTACTTCCATTAGCCTTCAAATCCAGATGGGGGTGTGGATATATGCCTTTAAAGAGTAAGTTTGAATATGTAAGTTTAGCTAGAGATTGAAACAGCATGGAACTCCTTCAAGGTTTCTGAACATATTTAAATATGTAGGTATCACTGATACCTACGTATACTGATTATCAGTGCTCATCTAAGACTGGCAATCTCTCTACAAATCTGAGCAGGATTTACACATATTTTATATGAAAAGCATAGATTCCTAAGCTGTGAACTGAGCCAGAGTCATATTTGCTGAATGACTTTTCATTCAAATGGCACCAGGAGCCCAAAATTTCAGAAGACTGACAATCTCTATGTCCTGCTGTTAAGAGTTTGGTACATGGATTGGTACTGCTTCCTCTGGGCATGTTCTTTACAGGACAAGTGACAAGCAAAACCAATTTGTCTGCCATGGAGGAAGAGGAGAACGCAGGAAAGAGGTATCTGCAGTTGCATGGGGAGTGCAAGGTGGGGTAAGCCAGAGGGGAAGGGAGGGCAGCACAATCACACAGACACATCACTCTTCCTGCTGCTTATCAATATACTGGGTGCCATTTCAAGATCACTAAGAAGAAAGCATGGTACTTCTTAGATATCTCAGGTCATTGACAGTTTTGGTTATAATCTGATTTTGATGCAATCCATCTAGTGAGTTTTCATTAGGGACTATCACTCTGTGGTAGGCTGTGCCTCAGAGCATAGAACTTGAGGAAAATCTCAGTGCTCTCTGCCAACATGGCAATGAATACTGCTGTTCTCCTCCCTCCCTGACAGTGTGCACCCATGACCCATGACTCTGGGTGGGGGGTAACTGCATGCACCTTCCATCTGGCAAAGGATACACCTGAACTGTGGGACAGATGTGCTTTGTGAGGTGTTTCACTGACTGAAGAAGAGGACATGCTTGTCTGCAGCACAGATTCATTGCCATAAGAGGCCAGGATATGGGAGATGGGGAAAATGGTGGGAAGATGGGATGCAACCTCAAGGCTCACACTGTTCACTTAACCCTGAGTCTTCACTGATGGTCCAGTCTTGCATATGTATGGCAGCCAGTGCTGTGGCCATTACACCAGCCCTGGGATCCTCCAAGTGCCAGATGCAGTCCTTGCAATGGACATTCTGCCTCTTGGCACAGAATTTGGATTGTTTACAAGAAAAGAGCAAGTGATTCTATTCAAAGTCCCATCCCAGGACATGTCGTAGCTTCACTGACTAGCACTGAACCTACACTTTCTGATACTAGTCAGTTATTTTGATACCTATATTTATTTTTATTTTTTAACCTGTGAATTGAGGTAGCTTAACTATGTCTAAGTATGACTTAACAAGTATGGTAAGCTCTTGTTTTTAACAGAATGTCCTAACCAAGCTATCACGTGCATGATGTCCCATCTGATTAACAATCAGGCAAAAGCTTCATGTGAAAGAAGGACATGGAGGAGAAGGAATAAACAGAACAGCATCCATGTTTCCAATTTTTTTTCTGTCTTTTCTTTTTCGTTAATGTGGACAGCTTTATGGATGGGAAATGTAATTAAAGATCAGTACAAATTACTATGCAATACTTACTTGCTGCCTCTATGAACTTGGAATAGGTGTCATAGGTGATCACAGGAATCGGTAAATCTCTGAAGTATAGCTTCAGTGCTCCAGCAATAATGTTTATGTCTGGATAAATACTGGCAGAAATATCAGCCTTGTCACCATCTAGGAAAAGAGGAAGAAATCTTTTTGAAACCACGTTAATTTTGCCTGAAGCAAGGCTAGACTTCTAATTCAGATTTACTGTGTGCAACCTGACAAGAAAAAACAACCTGAAAGCATTTGTAAGGCTTAAATGAGGATATATTGCTACCAACTTTACAGTATATGAATGAGGAATGGTATTTTCCCTATGTTTTAGTAAACAATTTATTTGCTTACATCTTTGGCTGGTGATTACATCACCCATATCTGTAGTATACCATCTCAAACATACTGTTTTAATGTTGGATGGATAATCATGTTAATAATATATTTCATCATCATCGTTATCATCACAGAAGTTTAGGCATTGGAATAGACCTTATAGATCATCTAGCCCCTATCCCCTCTGCCATGGGCAAGGACACCTCCCCACTAGACCAGGTTGCTCAAGGCCTCATCCAACCTGGCTTTGAACACTGCCAGGGTTGGGGCAGCCACTACCTCCCTAGGCAACCTGTGCTGGTGTCCTCACCACTCTCACAGTAAAAAAGCCTTTTCCTATTATCTGACCTAAATTTCCCCTCTTTCAATTTATATCCATTCTCCTTGCCCTATCATTGCAGTTCCTAACAAAAAGTCTCTCTCCAATTCCCTTGAAGCTGCTTCAAATACTGGAAGGTTGCTATGAGGTCTCTATGTAACCTTCTCTTCTCCAGGCTGAACAGCCCCAACTTCCTCAGCCTGTCCCCACAGGGGAGATGCTCCAGTCCTCTTAGCAACTTTGTGGCCTCCTCTGGACTTGCTGCAACAGTTCCATGTCCTTCTTATGTTGAGGACACCAGAACTGCACACAGTATTCCAGGTGGGGTCTCACAAGAGCAGAGTAGAGGGGGAGAATCACCTCCTTTGACCTGCTGCCACACTCCTTTTGATGCAGCCCAGGATTCTGTTTGCTTTCTGGGCTGCATTTGGCCCATTTAATCATTGAAAATAAGCTATTAATAACTTGTTCTGATGTAGTATCTTCTATCTGCAGGTCAGTGCATAGGAGTATGAAACATTTTTTTCAGCTCCCCTTGGGGAAACAGAGGCACAAAGAAATAACATAAATTTCCAATGACCCTCAGGAGAGCAGTAGGAAAAATCAGATTAAACATCCAGATCTTGTACATCTTGCACCAACATATCTATAGCGATTAGCCAGTAAGAAAGTTGCCTTATTTTCTGGATATCCTCTAATGTGTTAATATTTGACTTATTTATTTATAGCAAAGATATGAATTGAAATAGGGAATCTAAGGTATTTAGCTGTACAATTTATTATGAAATGTGGATCACTATTTGTTAAATGAATATGGATATCTGTAATGAATAAACAGCAAAACAGATGAATTATGCAACTGAAATGGCATACACATTAAAACACAGTTAGTCAGAACTCCATTACTGAGCACTTTCAAACACATGAGCTTCAAGATTACAAGTGTTGTTGGGAAGTCCTTGACTAATACATGGCTTGCAATGAGTGACAGAAGAACTAGCAGCAAGGCTGGGCCACTACAATTTTTCAAGTTTAAATGACTACATCTGTTCTGTACTTCCTAGTGCCCTCATACCCACATTTTTCTCCAGACCAAGAAATTCTGCTGTCCTCCCTTCTTGGGACCTGTCCTTGGTGGTCTTCCAGTACAAAGATGGGCAGGACACTGGTCATGTAGGGGCTGTTGCTGTCTGGATTTAACCCCCAGCTTTACCTCAGGCTACTCTGAGATTAGTTATAACCCATAGTCCTTATTTCCCACCATTCAGCTAGGGATACTAGCACTTCCCTCACAGCAGGTGGTGAAGATTAGGACCATACGGTGAGTGCAGTGATGCAAGGTCATGCTTGCTTGAACAGCAGAGAGGAATTTGCTTGTGTCTGCCAGGAGAGGCACAGGCTTGGGCTGTTACCACCGAGGTGCTGACATGTTGTAAAGCCATTGCCTTGCTTGTCTCACAGTAACGAGTGCTTGTAGACATGCCCTGATACAGACAGATGAGTGGGTGTGCATGATATACAGCATCTAAGATGGAGATAACGGCTTTCACAGCAGAATAAAAGAGTTTATATTGATTGTAGACATTTTATACAAACCTATGGCATTAATCTTGCAGGAATACATCCTGTCCAATGTATGCACATAATTCTCATTAAGACTAATAGCACTACATGTTCTCATCAAGAGGAGATTATATGCTTAAGTGTTTAAAACAAACAGCCTTTCTTGATGCAGCTGAGCAGTCTGAATACATCCATCAGCATTTAATTTAATACAGCATCAATAAGCCCTAGCAGGATGTTTACACTGCCCCAATCTTTTGTTTAATCCACACGTTCCAGGCACGGTAGCATTAGTCTTGTAAAGCTTTGTGTGGAGAGCTCTATTTAATTGATGGACACTGAGCACTCAAACTGCTCCACTGAAAACAGATACCTCCAAGGAGCCAGCAGCTGCATCAGAACAGATAGAGCAAAGCAGAAGCTTACATCTATTATCCAGGTCACCAGTACACTAAATGGAAGTGTTATTTATTTAGTACTTTTACAAAGCAGCCCTGCAAGCTTCCTTAAAGGGGCACTTCAGCTTGAGGTACTTCAAACTACAGTGTACTTCAAACACATTTCTTATTTACATATTCACTTACTGTAGGGAAGGAAAATGCATCCTGAGTCAAAGATTTTTCTCTTCACTTCAGAGAGAAAAAAACATCCATTGGAAACATACTGAATTGAGTACAACAATTACATGTGTTGTAATATATGCTACACATTTCTGCAGTGGATATGTAGAGGGAGGTGGATTTTTTTCTCTTGTGGATTTTGGATTGTCTTTCTTTTTTTCCAGTTTCAGCAACTAAAGGCCCTTGGCAGGCTGCGATTTTTCTCTTCACTTCAGAGAGAAAAAAACATCCATTGGAAACATACTGAATTGAGTACAACAATTACATGTGTTGTAATATATGCTACACATTTCTGCAGTGGATATGTAGAGGGAGGTGGATTTTTTTCTCTTGTGGATTTTGGATTGTCTTTCTTTTTTTCCAGTTTCAGCAACTAAAGGCCCTTGGCAGGCTGCCCTTATTTCTTATCCTCATCAAATCCCCTGATTTGTATTTTCATTTAAACACACTTAAAATTCAAAGCACTAAGAAAGAAAAGTTAATTTATAATCGGTAAAGTCATGACACGTTTCACAGAGGATCCTCTGCAGCAGCAGATTGTATGAACCACATGTGCTCTATATGATACCTTCTGCATTACCACAATAATTTTTTTCGCTCTTCAATATGTGAACTTTCAGCTGGTATTTTCACTGTCATTGCAGTGGCCATATGTTAATATAGTATTTTTAAAAGAATTTTGGATTGCAAACATATAGTTTATTTCAAGTTTACAAACCCAATCCTACCCAAACTCCATCACTTCTCTTTCCTTGTAACTTTGACTCTCAATGTATTTTGTTGCATTACATTGAAGTTTGAATATCTCAAGACAAAGAAAGTCTTTATTCTTTTCCTTAGAGGCTTCAGCTGACTGTGGATGCCATAGAAATATATCAATAGTTTATTAGAGAATGAAATAGAATAAGTATTACATTCTTAAAGCCTCAACTATGCCTTCTGAATACTGAATTAGATTTTACTTAAGTTCCTTTTTCCTGAATACTTCATTTCTGTTGCACAACCTTTGCCATCCTAACATGTTGCTTTGTGGTTTTTCTTGGATTTGGCACTTGACGGGTTTCCAGCCACACTGGCACAAGAGTATAAGCTAGGATGCCTCTAAGTACTCATGTAATATTTAACAGCATAATATTTTTAGCAAGTGTATTGTACCAGCCAGTCATACAAACAAGTGGGGGGACAGAATGCAGTGGTGACAATGGCAGCTCTGTGGATAAAATGCACAATGGGTGTTTTCTGGATGCCACAACACCACAGCTCAACAATGCTGACAGAAAGCAACTGTCATTCAACAGCACCAACATTCACCAGATTAAATAAATCCACATTATTCCCCTCCTTCTCATTACAAAAATCACTAAAATGCAACATTGTCAGTGCCTCAGAGAGCCTAATGCTAATTTACAGTAGGGGTATTTACACCACTTTGGCTTTGGAAGGGAGTCCTAGTTTAAATCAGTTGAGGACCAACTTCACTCTATTTTAAAACTGATATCACAGCTTCATTGGGTTCAAATAAAAGTATGTGGGACGCTACTCTGTTCCTGAGATGTTAACTAGCAAACTTGCTTTTGCTTTTCTGTTCTTGCTATAATTCTTTGGAAGCAACAAGTAGTGTCCCTTTGTGGAAGCAGAATCAGTCAGAGGGAAGGCTGGCTTCTCTTCATTGCACCCCTTCAGCTGCACATGAGAACAGCAGGAGAGGCACCCTATGGCCAGGTCAGCCCCCACACCTCATCCCTGTATCATACTGTCTGCTGGCCCCTGTGGCTTGACAAAGAGCTTGGGAATCAGAAAGCCTGACAGCATTATTTGAAAGATGCATACTGTGCACTAAAATGGGAGAGCTCCTTGCCTGTCTGTTCTCAAACACATTTATCAAAAGCTGTATTTCTGGAGATGGAAAAGAGTACTGGCATTTTAGTGAGGTGCCAGGGGACTGACTCAGAAACGATGGGCAGGGAGGGACTTCTGTAATGCCAGAGTGCAGTGTTCTGCTAATGTAGGCACCATGCCATATAACCCTTCTTGTAACCCCTGCAACTTCCATTTTTCAGAATAGTTAAGATTTTTTATCCCTGCTATTATTAGAAGGTCGTTTCAAAGCCTTGCTTTCAGATGGTTAAAAAACAGTCTTTAAATTGTCAAAATTTATTGCTGGCCAGGGTGCATCCTCTAGTACTGTGCCAAAACTATCCATTAGATTAAAGTGTTCTCTTCTCTGGTTCATACCCCTGCTCTCAGTGTCTCCTTTGACAGTTAACTATTCCAAGCTACTTTAAAACACATTTACCTTCTGTTATGCAGCATCCTCCAGAGATGTCTGAGATAGTGACATAGCTGCAGATATGGCCATTGAGGCTGCAACACCTCTCTATTAAGCAGAACTGATGGGGAATTTTCCATTTTATCTTTTACACACAAATTTGCAAGACCCGCCACCTGGCTCTCAGCTACTTTCTCTCCCAGCTCTGTCACTTGGGACAGGGAACTGGGATATTCCTCATCTTTGGGACAGTTCACTCCATACTCCTCTGGCTTCTAGTGCTAAGCAGGGGTAAGAGGGCAGTAGAAAAGCAATGTTCCTACCTGTGGGGCTGGGATGCAAAAGAGAAGGTGGTGTGCTTGTTTCTGTAAACTTTGATCTCACAGGGAAGCAAGCCCTGAGCTGCCAGGTTGGAAGCATCTTCCAAATTCAAACTTCTGACAGCTAACAACCACCTTCTAGCCGCACAGCTCCAAGTCACAATGAAAAAGATATATTCAGTTTTTCCTTAAATCCTTTCCTGCAAAATCCCTCAACTCTTCCTGCTTTTCCATCCCAGTTCAGGGAGAAAACATTTTCAAAACTGGGAAGTTTTGAAAGTTCTCAGCTTCTGGTCTCATGAATACTCTAGTCCTGCTATTCTTATAACAAGGTTTTATTTATTGTTCTGCTGCTTTATTCATGCGTTTTTTTATTCATGTCAACACTCTCTCTTTCCTTTCTTAGCCCTTTCCTCTTGTGAACCTATTAAAGGAAAACGAAGACACAGCTTTTTATCAATTGATGCCCAATGTCCCACAGCCTTTGTATACACACTCGATTCTTGCTTTCTCTGCATTCATGTTTATCCATGCTTTTTTTCCCCTTGGAAATCCAATACCACTACTGACCTTACTATTCCTGTTTCTAGGTGCTGTGCCTTCTGCCTTTGCCAGTAAATCACACTTTCTTCCTTGCTGTGGGTCTAATTGAAGTGTATTGCCATCAATTATGCTATGAGTATAGCAATAAACTGGACTGGATTCAATGATTCAAAGCATTTGCAAAGAAACTACAGGTGCAGCAGTGTTCAAGTCATGCTCAGACAAATATAAATCTCCTTTCTTCCAACTCTTCCCTCTACAATCTGTGCCTCTCATTCCAGGTTTCATTCAGGTTGGTACACTTAGAGGAGAATTAACACACAGAACAAAAGGGTTTGTCAGGCCAAATCTACCTGCAGGGAGCAGAATGGGACCTGTGGGGACTGTGACCTTCTCAGCAGCACTGCTTCACGTGGCACATCTGCAACATTATCTTCCTATGATAGCACTCATATCACTCTTGCCCAAACCATGGCTGACCTATGTGTGTATATGCATAAGTTCACAACTGCGACATCCAATATATTTTAAAATATGTATTATTTTTCAAAGGATATTTCAGTATAGCATGCAAACAATCAGTCTGGAAATTCCTAGTTGGATGCCTGCATGACAAACTGCCTGCAAACAAAAAGTGTTCAGGCACAGTAAGTGTAAGACATGCCACCCACAGACCTTGCTGGCCTGCACAGTCTCCCCTGGAGTCCCCACACCTCCTGCCCAAGGGTCCCCAGGGTCCTCAGTCCCTGCCTCAGTGACACTGTAGCTGTCTCCAGCTGTCTCATGGCCATGCTGGTGTGTGGCCATGCACCTTTCTGGTTGCTACCCTGACCCGCAGGCTGACTTTCTGGCTTGACCTGGACCTGCCTCATCCCCATGGGCTAGTGATCACCGTCTGTATCTGACCCTATTCCCTAACACAGGTAATACCTGAAAATATTAAGCAGGAGGGAAAACACTATTTATGGGAAAGGAGAATATTCATGCAACTTTGTAAATGTACTTGAAAAGGTGTTTTCTGTTGAAGGCCCTGTTCTGCACTCACATACACACTTGAAATTAGTCCTGTGTGCAAAGACTGTGTGCACAACCAGAACGGATGTAATTAGCTCAATCAATTCAGAAGAACTACTAGAATGGTAATCAGGCAGTGTTTTTATTATTAGTTTTTCAATATGCTGTACAACCACTCTCCTCAATGCTCCTTTCATCTGCTGTGCAAATGCAATTGTGCACAGTGGTGTGGTGCTTTCTACGAGGCTACATGCAGAATGACTTCTCAGTTGGAGTTCCTGGTCCTTAAATTCATAAATAGATTATGGTATTGTAAAGCACTGAGTCTATTAAAGATAGGAGTAAGAACTTCCTCCTGGTACCATCTAGACTTGTACTTGAACTAGGAGCCTAGACTGTGCTGCTAGCCTTCTACCCACCAATTATTACTGTGGGAGCCTAGACTGTGCTGCTAGGTTGAGCCATCACCTAGACCCTCACTTAGCCTTCTACCCACCAATTATTACTGTTTCATTATTCCTTCTGGCTATGAAACATGATTTCTTCTTATGAAAAGGACTATAGATCAGTTTAAGAACTCAGAAAAGACAAGTTGCTTTCTGTACTTCTGCTTATATGTCAATTGCATTACCATGGTACCTATATAAACCCAGAAAGAACTGAAAGGTCCTAGAACTGAAAGCTTAGATTAGATTTGCACAAGATTAAAAAATGTTGTACCTCGATCAAAGGCCATTTTCACATCTTCAATGTGCTCAGTGAAGCCTGAGACTCTGTAGAGGCCCTCGGACTTTAAACCTGAAACAAAAAGTTCTTGTTTATTTCAGTAACCAACAAACATTTACACTTAAAAACAATAAACCAAGAACAACAAACCTACTAATTGCCGTGAAAAGTTAATTGTAACGTGAAGCTCCAGAACATTTAAGGAAGGATCAAGACAATGTAATATTGTTTTTTAAAGCATTAAAAAATTTAGAATTTATACTTTCTGATTCTGTTGGTTGATTTCATTATGTTAGAGGAAAATACTGCAATTTGTTAATGGTGAGGCATGCGATGTTATTATGATTTATTCATTTTATGTAGGAGATTTTCCTGGATTTGGCCATAATTAATAAAGCTTTAGAGGTCTCTCTTCCTTTTACCAGTTGCTTAATGACAAATAGCAATGCAAGTAAAAGGCTGCCTTTCCCTA